GCGTGGCCAGGCCGTTCCGGTGCGTGGCTGCGCTTCTCATTGTGATTTTAATTGCATTTCTCTGATGGCTACTAATGTCAGAACATATTTCTATGCCTTTATTGGCCAGTTGTTTGTGATTAGTTGGATAAAGGTATATTCGAATCCTTTGCCAACTTTTTTTTAGAATTATTTTATTTTATTTATCCATTCATCATTTATATTTAATTTGACTAGGGAGAGACAGAGAGACAGAGAGAGAGAGATTGAGAGAGAGAGGGAAAGTGAGAAAACAAGTCACCAGGTCCGGGACTGTGGTCAGCCATGTGGGAGTGTCCAACTGCTAGCCTCCCTTTGACAACTTTTTGAGATATTTGACTTTTAATTTTTTAAATGTAAGAGGTTTTTTTAAAAAAACAAATACTGAATTTTATTTTATTTATTTATTGTTTAGACTTTTGCCATACGGCATGTGTGCTCAACGGAAAGAAGGATACAGAGACTGAGAGAGACAGAGAGAAAGGAAACATGAGAAATCACCCCTCCAGGGAGATAGCCACATTGCAATCCCTTCTCCTCCATTCTCCTCTTGGGATTTTGTACACATACACCCACAAACCTAGTGAGATTTTTCAAGTCGCCAGGTCTGTGACTTGAATATTGGAGTAGGCCATGTGGGATCTAGTGCCTCAATCACAATGCCACCTGCTGGTCCCAAGAACTGTAGTTTTTAGAGTATATGTTTTTATCTTCTCTTGTTAAATTTATTCATATACATTCTATTTATTTTGATGCTATTGTAAATTAAATTGTTCAGATAATTTCATATTGTGTGGTTCTTTGTAAATATATAGAAGTACAATTATCTTATATATTGAGTTTGTATTTGGTAATCATGTTGAATTAGTTTATCAATTGTAATATTTTTATTGGATTCTTTAGGATTTTATAAATATGAAATAATTCCATCTGCAAATATAGCTTTTTTTACAATTTTTAAAATTTCACTTATTTGCATAATTCCTCTTTCTAAAACCTCAAATACACTTTGACTACAAATGGTGAGAATAGAAATTCATTTTTTTAATCTCAAGGGGCAAAGCATTCCATCTTTCTCCATTAACTGTGATGTCTTATGAGATTTTTGTACATTATCTTTATTAGATTAAGTTTATTTTTATTCCTGGTTGTGGGGTGTTTTTTACTAAAAAAGGGGGCTAGATTTTTGTCAAAAGAATTTTTTTCCTATTGGGATTATAATGTGGATTTTTTTCTATATATCATATGGATGCATTGTATTAATTAATTGATTTTAGGATATTAAACCATTCTTGCATTGATGAGATATTATAGATCATAATTGATCTTGGTTCATAATATTTTTCGTATCTTGCTGGATTTGATTTGCTAGAATTTTGTTGATGATTTTGCATTTAGATTTATAAGATATATTATTCTGTAGTTTTCTTTTCTGGTGTTATCTTTGATTTTTGATTCAGGCTTTTATG